TTAACTCTTTTATTATTACAGAAGACATAAAATCAAATCAAAATAGATAAAATGAAATAAAATAAAATAGAATAAAATAAAATAAATTGTTAATATTGTAATAAATTGTTAATATTGTTATGCACGATCCTCTCATGGTCCTTGCCAAAGGTAAGTGCATAGGAGTAAGAAATATATTTTAAAATAGTTTACGCAGTGTTCCTATCACAATGAATTCCGTATGATGAGCGAATGATAGTGTTAATTAGTCTTCCATCAAACATAATTGGCCATGGTATTTGAAAGAGAGATAAATTAAAATTATTAAAAAAACCTATTGGCGAAATTTCAAATAAATTTGCTATTACAGAACAGTCAGTATAATCATTGTTCAAATATAAATTTAGATTTATGTATTTTTGACGCTTGTATTGTCTTGATGTCAGGAGGTTGGTTTCGTGGCATATCGAAATAATAATAGTGGCAATAATAATAATTATGGTAATAATAATAATTATATTCATTCATTCATCTATTCATTCATCTACTCACTCAATCAATCAATTGATCAGGTGACCTGAGACAGTTTGAAGAGGCGCTGCTAAAGTGTGAGGCACACTTGAAGAGAGCTTCCGAGAGGAAGAAGGTAATGATGATAACGATGACGTCAATGATGACGACGGCGATTAAGATGATGATTATGTTGGAGGGGTATGGGCGTTGATCTGACATTTCGAAATTTCAATCCCTCAGAAAACTGAAAACGCATCACCAAAGAACAAAAAGAACCTCAACAACAGCAACAGTAGCAACAGCAACAACAAAAAATCGGAGACAAATGGCAAACATAAACAACAACAACAACCGGGCTGTTCAAACTGGCGGGAAACCCAACAACAACAACAGCAGCAGCAGTCTAAACTAACTCCTAATCAGAAGTTCATGGAGGAGGTTGAGCTGCTTCAAGAGGAGTTACGACAGCAGTATGGTGGAAAAGCTGCTGAAGCTAAACGCGCCAATACAAAAAGCAACAACAACAGCAATAATAAAAATAATAATAATAAAAATAATAATAATAACAATAATAAAAGAGATGGAGTTAGACCGTACGTAAGAGCGAGGCCGAAAGTGTACGTCAGAGGACAGGTTTGTGAGTTTGTCGCGATGATGACGATGGTGGCGATTATGATAATGATTGTTGGCAATTGTTGGCGATGATGATGATGACGATTGTGATTATTAATAATGATGATGATGATGATAATGATTTTGATCAATGATGGATATTATGATGACATTATTGATCGTCAATTGCCATCATCATCATCACCACAACCACCATCATCATCATCATCATCACCACAACCACCATCATCATCATCATCATCACCACAACCACCATCATCATCATCATCACCACAACCACCATCATCATCATCACCACAACCACCATCATCATCATCACCACAACCACCATCAGCATCATCACCACAACCACCATCATCATCATCACCACAACCACCATCATCATCATCATCATCGTCGTCATTTATATTNTCAAACACCGCAGATAGATACAGTTATAGACAACGACGGCTTCCGAGTTCCATCTCTTCCTCCCTCCCTATCATCATCGTCGTCGTCACTTTCATCAACATCACTATCAGCACCGCCATCATCATTACCAACACCTCCACCATCATCATCATTACCGTCATCATCATCATCATCGTCGGCTCCGCCGCCTGGCTATAATAAGAAGCGTGGCAGAGGGAACGATGAAGATGACGGCGAAAATGTTGTGGCTGATGAAGCTGCTGCTACCGCTTCTGCTGCTAAGAGATTTAAAGGTTATGATGATGATGGTGATAGTGAGTGATGATGATGATTGTGATAACCATGGTGATGATGGTGATGATTGTGATAACCACGATGATGATGATAACCATGATGATGATGATAACCATGATGAGGATGATGATGATGATGATGATGATGATGATTTGATAATCGTATTCAGATTTTAAATAATTCCTATGAATAACAATTATTTTTTTATCAACTTTACAGGAATGCTTGAACAGTCATCATCATCATCACCACAACCATCGTCGTCATCATCATCATCACAACCATCATCATCATCATCACAACCGCAATCATCATCATCATCGGCTGAAGAATTTACTGTGTTTGTCAGCAATTTGGATTTCTCGCTTGGAGTAGAAGACATTAGAAATGTTTTCTCTGAGGTCTTTAATTGTCAATCATTCAATTATTGTGTCCATCAATCAATCAATTAATCAGTCAATCAATAAGTAAGTTAAACAATCATTCATTCATTCAATCAATCAATCATTTAGTCAATCAATCAATTAATCAATAAGCCACACAGCCATTTATCCATTAAATCAATCAATCAATCAAAAGTGAAACAATCATTCAATCAATCAATCAATCAGTCAATAAGTGAAACAGTCATTCAATCAATCAATCAATCATTTACTTCAGATTGGAGGCATAAAAGACATACGTCTCGTGGCAAATAAGCAGAAGAAGTCCAAGGGATACGCATACGTTGACTTTGATGATGTGGTGAGTTGGTCGATTGATAAATTATTCGGTTGATTGGTTAGTTGGTTGGCTGGTTGGTTGGTTGGCTGGCTGATTGATTGTCTTGCTGTTGAAGGGCTGGCTGGGTTGGTTTATTGGTTGATTCTTCAAGATATGTGATTGATTGATTGATTGATTATTTGGTTGATAAATTGATTGATTGATTGGTTGATTAGTCGATTGATTAGTTGATTG